AAATTAATATTAGCGTATATACCTCCCTCAACTTTAGCAGTTTGTTTACTTTCCTCACTTCCATGTCTCTTCCATGTGATTTCTCTCAGCAACGAGCTCCACCGCCATTTCAAAATGCTGAATTGGCCAACGAGGACCAATGGTGCGGGACACACCACAAAAAGACAGCCCAACATTGAACAGTGGCCAGCCGTCAGCATGTCAGGACCTTAACAGGCAGTATCTGACTTTCTAAAAACCCAATGTTTAGTCCTTTTTAAACCTCCGTTGAACTCTAAATCAGTTTTTAAAAGAATATAAAAGCAGCTAATTTTTCACTGAATGTAGCTAGCTATAGTTATGAAGCTATAAAAAGCACAGAATAATAAAAAATACAAGATTATTTGCTTTCTTGCCAAGAGTCAGACGAGACAATCGATACAATTCACATGTCTGCATGAGCAGAATATGTTGTATTATGCTACAACCAGGCCCCCAGGAAATGTGCCGGGCTTTAAAGCCAATTTTCGCCATGGCTAAACCCTGGAATTACAACTTCCTGGTCCATCACATGATGCCATTGGGCCTGAAAATACTTTTTTCCCAAAGACTTACATTGGGAAAGAGACGTCTGTTTATCAGGAGATACATTTTTAAGCATCACAACCCCCACAAAATGTCTCATTTGACTATCAGGATTTGATTCTTTCAGTCCGATAACATTTGGAAAGTCTAGAAGAGCCTAACAATTGAGTCACAGCAAGTAGCCTGCTCAACTGGAAATCTCTAGTCTGCTTGCTCTATGGGCCCAGTACTCCATCCTTAGGGGTGCACATACTGAAATATGTAGCCTATCTGACACTATGAAATAACAGCTATAGCTACTAAATCTGACAACTTGTTTTTCACAAGCTTCTTAATGCAAATACTAAAAGTCCTAATTCAAAAATGAGTTTGAGCTTTAATTATTGATCTGGTGAGAGTGAGAATAAATGAAATTGACGGGATACTCTAGAGAGAAGATGTCTCTGTTGGAGTTGTGGAGCAGCAACACTCACCCAACCGATAACAATCCATTAAAATCTGCCCGAATCTGCCCAATAATGACCCTTGGGATTGGCTCAGGACCAGGGTGCAAAATTAGCACCATCCAAAAGCCAAATTCTGATAAAATTAGCAAGTGACTGGTAGATTTATTTCACTCACTAGCCAAAAAAACCCAATGGTTATCTAATGAGTGGCTGGTAAAGTTGGAACATTCACTAGCCATTTGATCAGTGGCGAGAAAAGTTATTTCTGCACCCTGCTCAGGACATTCCCAGCAAACGATCAATTGAGTGGGATGGTTGACAGAAACTGAAACCTATGGCTGCCCTGAAGATGGCAGATCGATCTACAAACTTATCGTGTGCTTTGGAAAAAGGTTTGCAGTGATGTATAGCGTGTAATCTAAAATTAATGCAAAGTCATGATACAGTGTGGTCCCTAAATGGAACATGTGTTCAGCAGAGAAGATGGATTTCGTACTACAATCCTGGAGGCTACAGCGCTCAACGATGTATGTTGTCAACTGCCTTCATTACTGTGGTGAAAAGCATGAAGTGCATTAAATGGAGAACAGTTGGACTGGTGGTCAAGTTCGAGCCATCTGTCTTCTTCTGTGGGGACTAGTGTTTGTGATAGGACACATCAGTGTTTTATAAATTATAAGACTGTAAAGACAGGATTACCGCTGTGCAAATTAAGGGGCTTTTCAAGTCACAATGAGTTCTTGTATGCTGTCGAGAGAGCTGCATGAAGTTGTAAAAGTGTGTATTATTCGTGTTTAGACGTCTGATATGAGGCAGATCGACGTGTCAACAAAGTTCAAAGTGTCTCATCAACTTGAAAAAACAAATACAAGCTAAATTAAAGTGCCTTTTCAGGTCTCAGATGTCGAGGCAGGTAACGTGATCTAATATATGTGGTTTGGTGAGGGATGCCCCTCTATAAGCAGTGAATGAGTCACTTTGTGGCACAGACACCACACCACATGCTCAGCATGCATGAATGATATCACATTTGCAACATCTTTACAGGATAGAGCCTCTCTCTTTATGACAGGGGAGGCAAAGACACTGGGTGAGGTGAATCTGAGTCAAAAATCGCACTCCTTCTTTGAGTCATAACTCAACACACAGACATGAAACACATAGATATCAGTCAGCGTGACTTACACTTTCTGAGGATATCATTATATCTAACGTCCATCCAGAATAAACATTCATAAATCTACTTAGAAATCTTGGGGAGAAAAGTGCTTCAGAACCAGCTCGAGAATAATTGGGTTTTTTAAGCGGGATTTAGACTCGTGCAGCAGACCCTACGCCTTAGTCTATGCACATCGCCTACGCCACTGTGAGCATTTATACTTGTGCAGTGGTGTGTCTGTGTCACTCTGCAGTTACACCTCCAAAACACTAATCAGTGGCAGAGGGTTCTGTGAAGTGCTGTAAAGTTTAGTTGATTCAAAACACACGTTAAACACACATTAAACATGGCTTAATAGAGACAGTTTCAAACACAAGTACACAAATCAGCTTCACTATAACTCGCAGCATTCACAGACAAACACTTGTCTTTATCTGGACACATTTTCCCCACAAATACAACATGCTAATGTTAATAACACAAGCCTATGGCATTTTACATCGTATAAATTAGCCTAGTAGCTAGCGGACTATTCCTCTACTCATATGAAGCCAGGGACTATAGCAACATTTAACAAAGGTAACGTTACAAAATTTTGCTCCGTTACAGCTCACAAGGTTCACTGACAAAACAACTGTCTTATACTAAACACGTTTTCCAAACAAATACAACATGCTAACGTTATTAGCACAAGCCTATGGCATTTTACATTGTATAAATTAGCCTAGCGACGAGTGGAAAAATAGCGGGTTTGTGCATTTAGTCCTTCTAAGGCAAGCTTGGGGGTTTAATGTTGCTGGAGCCCACAGGAACAACGCTCTACGACCCTTTTTTTCCAAGTGATGACTGGGATATATGCCACCCCGCTCGAAATTAATATAAACACTTTAAGATCCACTCATTACTAAAAGTGTGTGTCATATAAAAACTAAATTGATGGTCAAAGTTGTCACAGTGAAATTTAAGGTGTGCTGATGGATTCACGTCATCAACTCATGCATTGAGTAACATTACAAGTCAACGTTCCACCTTAAAAGTTGCCGGCAGTCGGCCCAGTGAATGAAGTTATTTTTTCTCAGACTCCAGCTGCTGTGAGAGGCAGCAACACATCCTTTCATTTTATAGTTACAGTTTACTAATAAAACTCTCCACAGTATGAACAGTGGTTACATGAGCCTCAAAACCAGACACAACTCAGCCCTGAGCAGAGTGACCGTCCTCTACTGACCAATCAGACTGCAGTGTTCACAGCTCCACCTTTTAGTACCAGATCTGTGTGCTAGGTACCCCAACAGAGGGGGGACCAAACAGCTAAAAAAATAATATTAGCATATATAACTCCCTCAACTTTAGCGGTTTGTTTACTTTCCTCACTTCCATCTCTCTTCTCGTACGCTGAGTTGAACTGCCAATCAGAGTGATTTCTCTCAGCAATGACGGTACAGAACGGTTCTATTGGTACCATCCACAACTTCTCACAGTGGAAACTGATTCGCTTTTTTGAGCATCGAACTGAACTGTGCCATACTGCTCGGTGGAAACAGGGTTTACATTCCATGTTGGACTCCTGTCTGCTTCTCCAAACTGGAGGTGTGCAGACTATGGATGGGCACCGAAACCCGGTACTAAATTAGGCCCACGGCTAAAAAAATCAAAGACCGTAGTATTAAAAAGTTCTGACATTATCGGTTCTTTCACAAGAACTTTTACACATTTTGTTTAATCAATTTTCATTCTGCAGCCTCTCACCTGAGCTCTGTGCCGGGGCTGAACTCCTCCACATACACACACGTATGCCTACACGACACGGTAACCAGTGAACAGCTGAGCGTCTGAGTTGGAAACAAAGTGAGGATAACTGGAAAATTACTCGAGTTGACGGCAGCTACACTTGTTACTGTAAGTGCACTTTAAACCTATGCTCTGTCCGCAGTCTCTCATCCACCGCCACTAACGTTATGTCTTACATGCTATATACATGTAGTAATTATTTAAAAATGAAAGAGGACCGATAAGAGTGTTGATAAAAGTAGTTAGCAGTATTTATAAAATCTATAAAATGATACCCATCCCTAGTGCTGACTGACATCTACTGTATTTAAAACACTGACTATAAGTACCCATACAACCCTACTTCAATAGATCCAAACTGTCCCCCCCACAATGGGGCCCCTGAGTTTGCAGAGGTCCCCTTGATTGCTAACTCCAGCCCTGACTGGTAAAACTCCTTTACTCCTTTAGGCGCAAACATGGGGAACCATGAATGTAGAGAGTTTTAACTGAAGCCCTGAACAGAAATAAAGTGTCCTCCCTGATTTATCTTTGAGCACAAACTTTCTCCAACTACAACACCATCTTCATCAGACTCGTTTCAATCCTCTTACCAAGTGTTGCAGCAGAAAAGTACTTCTACTCCTCACATGGCTCGACACAAAACTTCCCGAGTGATTTCACCAGTCTCAGCCGGGTGAAGCAGCCCCAGGTCCGGTCCGCTCTGCGCACAAAGCCCGTTAACAGAGCTCCAGCTCCGGGGCAGTAAACTACACCTCACCGTTAAACAACCGGAGACACTGAAATAAACTTGTCCAGACTCAAACTAAGCGCTGCTGAAGACTTGTGTGTGAAGTGAGGACAGGACAAAGATCCACGGAGAGACTTGAAACACGGATTATCCTGCTCCTGTTTGTTTCCTGTTGTTTGTGGCGTGTCCACTCCGCACACCCCGCATCAAACACACACACACACGCACACACACACACACACACACACACACACACACACACACACACGCACACACGCACATCACTGTCCCGACACAGCCCGGAGCTTACCTCTGTCCGCTCAGCTCCGCATGTCTCTGCGTGACTTGTCTTCCTGCGTGTCTCCGTCCAGCGGTTCAGTCCATCGGTGAGTCTCGTGGAGCACGCGCGTCCCAGGCTTGTCAGCAAGCACCTGGACGTCAGGAGGCGGCATCATCACACACACACGTGCACACGCACGCGCAGAGACACACAGAGGAAATAAATAGAAGATAACAATCATGAGATTTGTTGTGTAGAATAAAGCCTGAAGACAAATCTCACATTGAAGTCCAATAACACGCCAGTTAACACATGACAAACACATGTTTTATGAGTTTATGTTAATTATTTTACTTTATTTCATGTTTTCAACAGGTCCATGCTCTCATACTGTGTCTAACAGTTACTGCACAGATCAGGTTCACCACTGCCTCTCAGTGGAAACTATGGAAAGTGCACTTTACTTAATTCATTCTGTTCATCTGTACATTCACTAATGTTGCCACTAACAGTCCTTTATTGAGTGAATAATCTGTCCAATGCACCAAATGCGAGTTCCTACATTTGAAATCAAAACTAAAGCTGTTAGATTTTTTGGGGGGCATTTTTGCTCAATAAATGACTTAAACGATTAATCGATTAATCATATTTTCTTAAACATGTCAGAAAAGGGTGACGAATATAAAAATTCAAGCTAATGTCTTTGTATGCAAATACCCCCATATGGAATAAAAACTGAAGCTGTTGTCATTTATTTTTTGCTATTTTTACTCAACAAACGACTTAAATTAATAATCAGTTAACCATTTGGTCTAAAACACGTCAGAAAAAAGTGGAAACTGTGAACAAAAATTTGTCAGAGTCCAAGCTGACGTCTTCAAATGCAAATATTCACATTTGCGGGGAAAATTTAAGCTGTAGCCTCTAAATGTTTGTTATTTTTGCCTAATCAAAGACTTCAGTGATTAATCGATTAGTCCTTCAGACTAAACATATCAGAAAAAATGAAAAATGTGTGAAAAGTTTCAAGGTGTCATGTCTTTTTTGTGTGCGACCAACAGCCTAAAAGCAAAAGATATTAAGGTTATTGTTGTAGATGTTGCAACTAACAATCTTTATTTACTCTATATATCTTTATTTGGTCTAAAACATGATGGAATATAATGGAAAATCTGAACAAAACATTGTCAGAGTCCTTCCTGATGTCTTCAAATGCAAACATTCACATTTGTAACCCAAATTGTGGGTTTAGCCATTTAATTTCAGTCCAAAACCAAAAGAAATTCAGGCAATTATTGTTTATTATGGTCCTGCCAGATGCCTCCTGCTGCTGCTGCCATCATTAGTCATTAGTCATACTTCTACTGTTATTATACACATATGACTATTGTCACACATGTATACTGCCAGATATTAATACATACTTTCAACATATTGTACCACAGTAGCCAGAACTATAACTATAACATTATTACTTTCAATAATGTTGTTGTAAGCTACTGTCATTACCTGCATCTCTCTCTCTCTCTCTGTCTCATTGTGTCATACGGATTACTGTTAATTTATTATGCTGATCTGTTCTGTACGACATCTATTGCACGTCTGTCCGTCCTGGAAGAGGGATCCCTCCTCAGTTACTCTTCCTGAGGTTTCTACCTTTTTAATTTCCCCGTTAAAGGGTTTTTTTGGGGGAGTTTTTCCTTATCCGCTGCAAATTGTGATTTGTGATATTGGGCTTTATAAATAAAATTGATTGATTGATTGATTTAGGATAATGAAAACCAGCAAATATTCACATCTGGAACCAAAACTAAAACTGTGGCCACTGAATTTTTGCTTATTAAAAATAATTAAATGATTAATCAATTAAGCATTTGGACTGAAACAAGTCAGAAAATAGTGAAAGATAAATAAAAATTTGTCCAAGCTGATGTCTTCAGATGCAAATACTCACATTTGCAGCCAAAACTGAATTTGTAGCCAGTGAATGTTTGTTGTTTTTGCCTAATGAAAGACTTAAATGATTAATCAATTAGTCATTTGGACTAAAACATATCAGAAACAAATTAAAAATGTGTACAAAGTTTGTAGGTGTCATGTCTTTTTTGTGTGCGACCAACAGTCTAAAAACAAAGATATTAAGTTTATTGTTGTAGAAGACAAAGATCTGTTCAGTCACTATGTTGCAGCTAACAATCTTTACTTATATATCTTCATTTGGTCTAAAACATGAAGGAATATAATGGAAAATCTGTCCTTGCTGATGTCTTCAGCTGCAGATATTCACATTTGCAACCAAAATTGTGGGTTTAGACATTTAAATTCAGTCCAAAACCAAAATAAATTCAGTTAATTATTACTTAGGATAGCAAATATTCAATAGCTTTAGTTTTTAGTTTTAGTTTTAGTTTTTTCAATAAAAACTAAAACTGTGACCACTGAATTTTTGGTATTTTTGCCTACTGAAAATAATTAAATGAGGTTTCATGTCTTTTTTTTTATCAAACCAACATTTCAAAAAATAAAAGAAATTCCGTTTATTATTGAAGAAGATCAGGAAAACCAGCAAATATTCACATTTGGAATCAAAACTGAAGTTGTGGCCATTCATTTTTTCTTTCTTCTTTTTTTATGATTAACTGATGAATCAGTGGTCTAAAACATGTCAGAAAATAATGAAATATGTTAAAAAAAAGTCTCAAGGTTTCATGCCTTGTTTTGTCTGACCAACAGTCCAAAACTAAAAGAAATTTAGTTTGTTAATGTAGAAAATAAATATAACAAAAACAGCAAATATTCACATTTGAAACAAAAACTGAAGCTGTAGCTGTAAACAATTAATAGATTAACCATGTGGTCTTAAACGTCAAAAAATAATAACAAATGTAAAGAAACGTTCAAGGTTTCATGTCATTGTTTTGCTCAACCAACAGTCCAACGCCAAAAGAAATTCAGTTTATGATTGTAGAAGATTAAGAAAACCAGCAAATATTCACATTTGAAACCATGAAATGCACATGTTCTAAATACTGAAGGGGCCACGTGCCCTGCGCCCCCCATGCCTAGACCCGTACATATGCAGCCAACGTACCAAATCACCTTCAACAGATCCATTGTAACATCTGCAAATATCTGAATCAATAAGTAAACACCTGAATCTGTGTGATTATTAGCATCATCGCTCCTCTTCAGCTTATTTCAGCCCTCTTTTCTCAATATACTGTCATTACTGTGTAAAGCTGCACCACAAGGTTTTGTCACCAGCTGGCCTCTATCTGTGTCAGTCTGCTGTTAGCTGCAGTTTAGGTTCTGTACAGTAGATTATAACAGCATTTTCTCTAAAAGCAGCTGCTGGAATCGACACCGATGACACTGAACCAAACCAGTCGTGGCCATAAACCCAAAACAGCGAGCTAAAAGAAGCTAAAACGCTCTGCGGCGCTGAGGGGAACTCCAGAGTGTGTGATAAATCTCTGTGTCCTTACAGGCCACATTACACACAGTCGTTTGATCCATTAAAAATATTGATCAGCGTAGCGTTAATGCTCCTTTAATGATCAGCGGTACTACATATAGCAAAAACATATGTACAGGATTTTCCTCCTGTCATCTATGAGCAATCTCTCAAGCCACAAGTACACTGGACGTATACTCTCTATATATAGATGTTAAAGAGCTTTAGTGAACTATGAACAACTGATTTCAAAAATTACAAAGAAAGTTTTTAAAAGTGATCAATCAATCAGTAATGATTGTTCTGCATCAATATTAAACACTTAAACGGCTTCTCTGTACACATGGTGGGGAATCTCCTTAAGTGTGAGCCCAATATAACTTCTTGCATGATGACATTTAACTATTTATATATTGACTCAGACGTGGCAAAATAACTGCAAGATGCAATTCAGAAGCAACACTGGTGAACGTTCAGTGTGGACACTATTCTTGTATTTCTTGACCTTGGAAACAGTGGCAAAGACTTTGAAAAGCAGTAAAAAAAAATTTTTGGTTAAAGCCAAAATCACAAAGAGAAAATAGTAAAGGTGCTTCTTTGTGCAGCAACATGCACATTATACAGGTTTTATGGATCTCTGGTGCTGTAAAAATCAGAGCTGCCCACGTAAACTTTTTTTTTCCAACTGTACTGACAAAGTAACAACAGAATTTATGAAACAACATTGGGTTTGTATTATACAAAAGCTGCAATGCACAATATGATGACGACTCTGGTGTTAATATACACAAATCTGAATGGTTGGTTCTGAATTTGACATACCACAAATTAGCTTTAAATTATCTAAAATGGATCATATTTTTGATTAATTACATTAACTAGTATCTTAAATTAAACCCACAGAATTGTTTTAGTTTGTGGCAACAATCAGGGACCTTTGGGGGGGAGCTAATGCCAAATACAATAAATCAGAGGCTCCCAACTGGTGGTCGCAGGGTCATTCTGAATGGACCACAACAAGTGACTTGCAAACTTGCAAAGTTTGAAAAAAATACACTTTATTTTGAAGTCCCATTTTCTGTTGCAGATTGACTGACTGAAAGATAATGGACAGAGACAGCAAAGTAGCTCGACAACATGGCCGAACGCAAGTATGATGTTGAATGTATTAAGCTGTGTGGAACTTAAACTGTTGACTAAGGAGAAATCTGGACCCTGTGTCTGCACCAGTTGGGAACCACTGCAATAAATGACATTTGTTATATATTTAAAGAACTTATGACCATTATGACACATGCTGGGTATTCAATAACCAAGCTGGTTATTATGTCATATTTTTACATTCACTTCTGCAGTTGCTGTTTCTAAGTGCCTTCATGTTACATGTTGTTAAATCTATTGAATACATTTTGTAAAAAGCTGGAATTCAAATGAGCAAATTTTGTTTTATCGTCCTTATTGGTTCTTTGTTTGTTTATTGGTACTCTGTATAGCTTTACTGAATTGCTAATGAAAAATACCTTGTTTAAACTGAAAATTCAAGTTCAGAAAACATTATAAGACAACTTTTAAAACCATCTTTTTAACCTCAAAATAAATTCAAATACTGACTACAACAAACCATACCACAACTTTCAGTCCTGGCAACAGAGACACCACCATGTTACTGTTATTTCACAGTGCATCTGCTGTAATTTATTTTAACAGTACACTGGATTACAGTACGTAATTGTGGCATAACTGTGGGTTGAATTTTTAACAATATTTTGCAATTATTATACAATACAGTAAGATACTCCTGTAAATCCGAAGTAAACTTACAGCAACTTGTTACAGTGAGTAAATATAAACACACATGAAAGTAATTCCAGATACAAGGACTACTTCCTCACAATAAACAATATTTAAAGCAGCACTAATCGATATTTTTCTATTAACAAAGGTTCAAAACGTCCCTTGTAAAGACAAACCCACGGAGCATTATCAGCAACACTGCAGTTCCCCTCAGCTCTATGTAGCATATTAGCTTTTGCTTTGATTCAGTCTCTTGGCTCTCATCAATGTTTTCAGACATTAGCGTCTTAGAGATACAGCAGTAAGTATATGTCGGCCTGTAAGTGACAAGAAATGTGCTTACAAAAATGAGAAACAGTCTCTCCATGTGTAGTTTGTCCACTAGAAAGTTCTGACAAGTTACATTTCGAGCTATAAAAGGTATGACTCAGAACACATTCATCAAAAATCTTTAAGAACCAAACTGAAAGGATCCTTCTTAAAAATGCCCATTTGTGTTATGTGTATATCTGAAAAATAAAATAGAAATAAATACTATTAACGGATATATTTTAAATATCAATATTGATATTAGCCTAGCATTGGTTAGAGACTAGCTGGTGAACACAGTGAAGCATTTGGCAGCTACAGAGAAAAATATTTCCCTCAGGAGTTGGTGGAGACTAAGTCAGAGCTAAGACAGAGAGATTATTGGACTTAAATTTGTTAAATGACTGAAAGTAATGGTCCAGATTAATCCTAAATTTGCTCCATATCTGTAACAGATTGCTAACGTGTTAGCCACATCTGGTGTACTGAGTCCAAATTGTTGTTTGCAGCTTGTTTTCGCAACCACAAATGGTCGAAAAAGGAAAAACTAAATTGAATTGATTATCAAAAAATTTGTTTATGAAAAAAAATAAAAAGACAAAATAAATAAAGACATATAACTGATATATCTTAAATATATACCAATATTGGTATTAGCCTAGCATTGGTTAGAGACTAGCTGGTGAACACAGTGGCGCATTTGGCAGCTGAAAAGACAGATATTTCCCTCAGGAGTTGGTGGAGACCAAACACAAGCAAAAAGAGAGAGAATATTGGACTTAAATTTGTTAAATTATCAAAAGTAATGGTCAAAATTAATGCTAATGTCGCTCAGTATCTGTAACAGACATGTTAGCCACATCAACTTTATAGAGTCCAACTTTTGTTTTCAGCTAATTTTCACTGCCTTCATGTGTTCAAAAAAGAAAACTGTCTGCTTATGGTATTTGTTTATAAAAGATAATAACTGATATACTTAAAATGACAGTATTGGTATTAGCCTAGCATTGGTTAGAGACTAGCTGGTGAACACAGTAGAGAGTTTAGCAGCTAAAAAGACAGATATTTCCCTCAGGAGTTGGTGGGGACCAAAATCAGAGCTAAAAGAGAGAGAATAATGGGCTTAAATTTGTGACAGGAAAATTTGGTCCAAATGCTAATGTTACAGATTGCTAATATGTTAGCTGCATCAAGTCCAAATTTTGTTTACGGCTTGTTTTCGCTGCCACCAAGTGGTCAAAAAAGGAAAAATAAAATTGCTGCTTTCACCTCACTCAAAATTCAACTTCCAGCTTCAACTTTAACTATTATTTTTTGCTGTCTTCCTTTTTTTCCTTGGGTAATATTTAACAACATTCCAAGTTTCCTGTAGATTAAACACCCATGCATCACCCATCACCATCCATTCGTCCTGTAAAAGTTCACTCACCGCTGCTTTTTGTTCTGTCTTCACCTGGAAGGTTCCCCAGCAGCTCCAGCTGTGGGTTTTGCTCAGTCAATCCCTTGTATCAAACAAGAAAGGATTTCTTAAAAAAAGAAAGTGAAAGAAAGAAGTGACATTAAGCCAGACCAGCTGGCTTAGAGAAGAGGGGGACCCAGAGAACTGGGCTGCGTTTGGATCTGAGCTCAGTCTGGACTGAGCAGGGGTAGTCTACAATCATCAGACCCTGACGCTCAAACACCACCCCCTCCGTCCCACCAACACACACACAAACACACACACACACACACGTATGCTACACTCACAGCCGTACACTCACACCCAGTGACCTCCTGTGTCCGAGCTGGTGGGTCTGTGGAGGAGCTTGGTCACCTGTCGTTTTCACTCTCGGTATATTTAGCTCTGAGGTGTCAATGATGCTGCCTGTGTGTGTGTGTGTGTGTGTGTGCCTGTGTGTGTTTCAGTATATGTGTGTGTGTGTGGGAGAGAAAAATGTGTTGCTGACACTCAGGGCCTCCGCGGGCCTCGGTGTAAGAGCCCAGGATTACTGAACCAAAGACCGTGGGCTCTACACATTACATCCAGAGAGGGAGAGAGAGATCAAACCTGCGAGCGTGTCCTAGATATCAGCACACTGAGCATCTGCTGGGCGGAGGATTACTCTCAGCTGTCCACTCCTGTCAGAGGGAAGAGAGGAGAGCAGCACTTCCATGATCTATGAATCCACCCAATATTGGTGTAGAAACGTGGCTGACTCACTGAAAAGCCCAAAAACAACACACACCCCCGCTGGTTTCAAGTAAAACAAGCAGGACGGGAAAGAGAGCTGACACATATCTGCCTGGGTCAGGTCATACAATGCTACAATGTTCTCATTGGTCAGGTGTCAGATTTTAACCAAATTTACAGAAAACGTGACTTAATGCACGTTTCCCATCCACTACTGTTGTACAAATATTACGACTTGCAAGGTACCCTGGGTGCGGAGGTTGTTGACCTTCTGGGACACCATGTTAAGTTCTTGTCTTTCAAGATACACCTCAGTTTTCACAGGAAATTTAGCGTTCACACACAGTTTCTTTCAAAATAAAAGCACACTACATCAGTATAACACCGCAAATTAATGTTTTTTTTCCTTCAACAACAAACACACGTGGCTGGGTTTAGGAAAAAAGAACAAGGTTTGGCTTTGGAATCTTACGGGATGAGAAACACCGCTCTCCGGGGTGTCCACCACCTGCCCCACTCTGACTTTCGCCGCCTTACCTTTCGTCCTTGTCCCGCCGCATTTCCCCCTGATGCTGCTGAGCGCCGTTAAACTATAACAGCAACCAGACGCCTTTTCTTGTTGGTTTCTGACGTGCTGGATTTCAACAACTTCAGAGAGAGACCGTGCTCTCTATGTCCACAGTGCTCTGTTAGCGCTACAGAAAGGTATGGACTCATTAATTATCTTTCTGCTATGGGGAAAAAACACTCTGGCTTATTTTTGTTTCTTTAAACCAATCACAGTTGTCTTAGGCGGAGCTAAGCTCAGGATGCAGCGACGGCGCTCTGGCAAAATAGTGTCGGGTCTGACATGTTTCAGTGGAACATTTGCAACTGGGGAGGCGTGTCTGTGACAACCAATCACATCTGTTAGAAGAATGCATCACACCTAGCAGTAAGGAAGTGTGCTGATCTTTGAAGCCAATTTTCGTAGTGGCCAAACATTGTAATTACATCCATCACGTGATGCCCTGTGGCCAAGAAAGACTTTTTACCATAGATTTAGTCTCTATATACAGACTCTACATTCAGTGAATGTAGAGTCTGTAGGCAAACCCCGGAGATCTTGCCTCCGGAAGAAGAGTGGAAGAGCCCTGCAAACTCTGAATCCATCGCAATGGTTCAGCATATTTACTTATATATAAACGGAAGTCAGAAACGGAAATTCGCCTCCTCTGCCCAAATCAAACCGGAATGCCAAAAAATCAGGGGTCTGCCCCCAGAGGCTGTATTTGCCGTCTGCCAGGAAGTCAGACGCCAAATACAGCCGATGGGTTCCGAGAATGCCGTAGACCTAAATGGTGAAAGTGAAGCGGACGGTAAAGTCCTGAGAAAATAAAAGGGCAGCTTACAGAGCTAGTTTGGCCGACAAATGGTTCTTGAACTATCATGTTTGCTGTTGGCTAGCTTGTTAGCAGTTAGCTCGTCATCTACAGTCGTTCAGTCGTGTTTCCTCTCTGTTTCTTACCACAAGTCATTTCTTTCACCTTACATTCATTCATTTGATTTTCAATGCATAGAAAAATGATAAGTTAATTTTTAACGTGCAGTATTTAAACATGGTATTTTACATGTAGATTGTCAAAGTGATCTCATTATCAGTTGATTTCCAGCTTACCAGGAGCCTCCATGCTACACGCTGTAGGTCAGTGAGTTTCAGTCAGTGAGGACCTGCTGATGGAAAGGAAACAGTCGAAGCGTAAACGATAATTCCACCTGAAAATAAATTTTGTGCATGATTTCCTTCCTACAACACACAGAGACGGAGACCAGGGCAGATTGTTAGCGTTTAGGCTTGAAGGAATGTGTGAAATGTTCTGGTGTGTTAAATTTACGTGTTTTAATTTCCTCACCGTTGGTTTGCATCCATCCTTTACCTCCTCCTGAAAAAGAAATATGCTGTTCATTTACCCCCACCTCCTCCCCCCCAACGAGCTGTTTAGACTCCTGTCCGCACCATTTAGACTCGAGGAAAGGGCGGAGGAAATGAAAAGAGGTGGGACAGAGGGGAAAAGGCTAACAGTGATTGTTTGTACTTCACCCTGTCTTCAGGAAGTCGGCTGAAATTGAATTATGGTCGATTTAAAGCTGTCAGGGAAATCCTTCTGGTTCTGAAACAAACCTTCAATGATCATCTGACAGAAGTCTCAGTCTCTTTCCTCCCCTGTGCACACATCACTACCTTTCAGAGTTTAAATCATCCATTACAGTAGATCAGCAGCTCCTCATACAAATGTTTAAGTCGTGTGTTATCTGAATGTTAAATATTTAACCAAACTGTCCTCAGGATGGACAGTTATCAGAGTGAGTGGACACCAAGGTCTGCATGTCCTGTAGTTTGTTGTCTCCACTCAGTCAAACGATGCTTGTATGTGCAGTATACACAGTATGTGCAGTATGTGTGGAGTCCATATGTAATGTAGAACCCTGTGTGCATCCACGCTCACTGCCTGTGTAGGCAGATAGTGCAGGAGCTGGACGAGGTGTTGAGGAAACATAAACAAGCACTGACAGAAGCAATAAGCTCGTTCTGAAGGGAACCAGATGTGCGGAGAAAGATCCGGAAAATATTATTACTGGAAACATGAAGTCTCCAAACATTCTTCTTTGTTCTTAAACTTCCAGCAGCACGTTTCTTCATCTGACGGCTCATTACGAGGTCTAAAGAGAAGGCCTCATTGTACCTTGACTCCAGTGGTGAATGGTAGCGGTACAAATTTGAGGTACTTGAGTATTTTCTTTTCATGCTGCTTTCCACTTCTACTTAACTACATGTCAGAGGGAAATATTGTACTTTATATTCCACTACGTTCATCTGATGGCTTTAGTTACTTTACAAATGAGGATTTTCACACACAAAACATATGAAAAGTTGATAAAATGTTATTTTTGTTGTTGTTATAAATCTAACTACCCAACAGTTTTCACAAGAACAGCTGAAACGATTCTTAGATGAGTCGACTGACAGAAAATTAATGAGAAACTATGTTGATGGTTGAAGTTATTTCATGGGTTCAGCTTCACAAATGTGAAGATTTGCTGCTTTTCCTTCTAATAATGTTAATAATTGTAATGTATCAACCAAACAGGCAGAAGAAATGTTGGCATGGTATGTTTCTGCAAACTACCATTACACTTCAACAGCACTGTGGTTAACATGTGGTGAAGTTTGGGGACAAAAACCACCGGGCTGTGGTTAGAAAAAGATCATGTTTGGGCTTTATATACCTGCTTTTCTTGCCACTATCCTGGCAGAAAACACAGTGACGTCTTGGTAAAAAAACAACCGCTTTTTTATGGCACTATCCTTGCTGGAAATGATACAATGCTTGGTATAAAACAACAGCTTTTTGTGACACTATTCTGGCAGGAAATGCAGCAACGTTTCAGTAAAAAAAACAACCGCTTTTGTGGCACTGTCTCTGCTAGAAAAACAGTGATGTCTCAATAAAAATCACTGCTTCTCATGGGACTATCCTGACAGGAAAAGCAGCAATATCTTGGAAAAAAAACTATCACTTTTTGTGGCACTATCCCTGCTGGAAACGCAGCGATGTCTTGGTAAAAAAGATCAGCTTTTTGTAGCATTGTCCCTGCTGGAAAAACAGTGATGTCTCGGTAAAAAACGATCATTTTTCTTGCCAATATCCTGTCTTGGTTAAAAAAAACACTTTTTGTGGCACTATTCTGGCAGGAAATGCAGCAATGTTTCAGTACAAAAACAACCGCTTTTTGTGGCACTGTCTCTGCTAGAAAAACAGTGATGTCTCTGTAAAAACAAACGTTTTTCATGGCACTATCCCGGAAGTAAACGCAGCGATGTCTTGGTATAAAACTAAACAAAAAAAACAACCACTTTTCATGGCACCATCCTGGCAGAAAAGGCAGTGATATCTTGGAAAGAAACTACCACTTTTTTGTGGCACTATCCCCGCAGGAAACGCAGCGATGTCTTGGTAAAAAAGATCAGCTTTTTGTAGCATTGTCCCGCTGGAAAAACAGTGATGTCTCGGTAAAAAAAACAATCATTTTTCTTGCCAATATCCTGTCTTGGTTAAAAAAAAAACACTTTTTGTGGCACTACTCTGGCAGGAAATGCAGCAATGTTTCAGTAAAAAAACAACTGCTTTTTGTGGCACTGTCTCCGCTAGAAAAACAGTGATGTCTCTGTAAAAAACAAACATTTTTCATGGCACTACCCCAGAAGTAAACGCAGTGATGTCTTGGTATAAAACAACCGCTTTTTGTGGCACTATTCTGTCAGGAAACGGTGTGATGTCTTGGCATTAAACAACAGCTTTTTGTGGCACTATCCTGGCTGGAAATGCACTGATGTCTTGATAAAAAAAATACAACCACTTTTCATAGCACCATCCTGGCAGAAAAGGCAGCAATGTCTTGGTAATAAACATTTTCTTTTCATGGCACTATCCCCGCTGGA